CCGGATTCGCTCGTCATAGCCAAGGAGATCTGGTAAACCTCTCGATGAAATGCTCCGAGCTGACGAGAGCATGCCTCCTATTTTCCGGCGGCATCAGGACAGAGCGCATCTCCCTGCCCAGCACTTCGCACGCCATCAAGCCAGCAGGGTGAAGGCCCTCTTTCTTCGACCTAGATGCTGCGGAGGGTGAATATGGGCCTTCACAATAGACAGATGGCCTCTACAATTTAAAATGGCCTAGTAGTTCTGCAGTGCTATTCATTCCAGCCCACAATATTCTGGCCCAAATAAGAGCTAAGTGCCTAAAACTTCTATTTAAACACTTGAAATATTTATTAAATGATAGTAGTATAATTATTACTATTATTAATTATATTATTTCCACCACCATTATGGCGGGTTAAAAACCCCCGAGGTGGTGGAGACCATTATGAGGGATTAAAATTTCCCGAGGCCGCTAATGAAAATTTATTATTGGTGGTGGAAACTGCCATTAGACCGGGTCAAAAAACCTCAAAGTGGTGGACCCGAGCTCTAGTCTACCGAACATCTTTATTTGATGATTCGGATTATATTTAGGTCCCTCGACCTACCCTAGTCACCTTTATTTGGTGACTCGGACATCTAAAAATGAGAGCCGCTACCGGCCGCACATGGCATTATGCTCGAGAGCGGTAAACGGTACACCTCGTTCTCCGAGACGCTAATCGCGTCGCCCAAAAGCCGTTGCCATGAACAACACACCTATTGTATTCCGCTTATTGTTTGGAAATGTAAATAGAAGATACCACGTGTCGTATCAGCAGCCTTCGAGCGAAAGGCTCAAGTCTGCTCCACTTTGTATTTTGTATCAGCGAAAGGCTCAGGCCCAGCTGAGAGAGCACGTCGTATCGGCCCCTTAGAGCGAAACGCTCGGGCAGGGGCGACGATGTCCCCAGGACGACGGGCCCGCAAACGGCCCACGTCTTGAAATGGGAAGTTCACAGCGTCGTCCACACGCCTGATCGTAGGACGACAGGCCTGAAATCATGGCCGAGGTGACAAAATCCCCACACTCAGGGTCGGGCAACGGCAGTCGTTGGAAACCAACCAAAAGTCTAGCCCGCGTCATAAATAGGCGACGGGACCCCCCCTGAGATCACGGACGTCATAAACGAAGTCCGAACCGACCGGAGGACTATCGACCCCTTCGGCCGAAGCCTGAAAGAAGGACACTCCCCGAAATGGGGAACGAAATCAAAAAAAAAAAAAGGAAAAAGAAAAAATAAAAGAGGGAAGCCGAGGACCGCGCGCACTCGCCGGCCTCGAGCAACAAACAATGAAATCCCCACAACAATACTAAGTACATATCAGGAAAATACTACACATTATGGACGAAGCAAGACCATACATGCGGACTAGACGAGCGCCCAGCGCCGTCCATCATTTTCAGACGAGCGCCCAGCGCCGTCCCTCATTTTCAGACGAGCGCCCAGCGCCGTCCATCATCTCAGACGATCGCCCAGCGCCGTCCATCATCTCAGACGAGCGCCCAGCGCCGTCCATCATCTTAGACAAGCGCCCAGCGCCGTCCTTCATTCTTAGACGAGCGCCCAGCGCCGTCCCTCATCTTAGACGAGCGCCCAGCGCCGTCCCTCATCTTAGATGAGCGCCCTGCGCCGTCCTTCATTCTTAGACGAGCACCCAACGTCGTCCCTCATTTTTTAGACGAGCGCCCATCGCCGTCCCTCATTTTCAGACGAGCGCCCAACGCCGTCCATCATCTCAGACGAGCGCCCATCGCCGTCCATCATCTTAGACGAGCGCCCAGCGCCGTCCATCATTTTCAGACGAGCGCCGAGCGCCGTCCCTCATTTTCAGACGAGCGCCTAGCGCCCAGCGCCGTCCATCATCTCAGACGAGCGCCCAGCGCCGTCCATCATCTCAGATGAGCGCCCAACGCCGTCCATCATCTCAGACGAGCGCCCAGTGCCATCCATCATCTCAAACGAGCGCCCAGCGCCGTCCGTCATCTTAGACGAGCGCCCAGCGCCGTCCCTCATCTTAGACGAGCACCCTGCTCCGTCCTTCATTCTTAGACGAGTGCCCAACGCCGTCCCTCATTTTTTAGACGAGCGCCCAACGCCTTCCCTCATTTTCAGACGAGCGCCCAACACCGTCCATCATCTCAGACGAGCGCCCATCGCCGTCCATCATCTTAGACGAGCGCCCAACGCCGTCCATCATTTTCAGACGAGCGCCCAGCGCCGTCCCTCATTTTCAGACTAGCGCCCAGCGCCGTCCATCATCTCAAACGAGCGCCCAGCGCCGTCCCTCATCTTAGACGAGCGCCCAGCGCCCAGTGTCGTCCATCATCTCAAACGAGCGCCCAGCGCCGTCCCTCATCTTAGACGAGCGCCCAGCGCCGTCCCTCATCTTAGACGAGCGCCCTGCGCCGTCCTTCATTCTTAGACGAGCGCCCAGTGTTGTCCATCATCTCAAACGAGCGCCCAGCGCCGTCCCTCATCTTAGACGAGCACCCAGCGCCGTCCCTCATCTTAGACGAGCGCCCTACGCCGTCCTTCATTCTTAGACGAGCGCCCAGCGCCGTCCCTCATTTTTTAGACGAGCGCCCAGCGCCTTCCCTCATTTTCAGATGAGCGCCCAGCGCCGTCCATCATCTCAGACGAGCGCCCAACGCCGTCCATCATCTTAGACGAGCGCCCAACGCCGTCCATCATTTTCAGACGAGCGCCCAGCGCCGTCCCTCATTTTCAGACGAGCGCCCAGCGCCGTCCATCATCTCAGACGAGCGCCCAGTGCCGTCCATCATCTCAAACGAGCGCCCAGCGCCGTTCCTCATCTTAGACGAGCGCCCAGCGCCGTCCCTCATCTTAGACGAGCGCCCAACGCCGTCCCTCATCTTAGACGAGCGCCCTGCGCCGTCCTTCATTCTTAGACGAGCGCCCAGCGCCGTCCCTCATTTTTTAGACGAGCGCCCAGCGGCGTCCCTCATTTTCACACGAGCGCCCAACGCCGTCCATCATCTCAGACGAGCGCCCAGCGCCGTCCATCATCTTAGACGAGCGCCCAGCGCCGTCCCTCATATGTTAGACGAGCGCCCAGCGCCGTCCCTCATTTTCAGACGAGCGCCCTGCGCCGTCCTTCATTCTTAGACGAGCGCCCCGCGTCGTCCCTCATTTTTTAGACGAGCGCCCAACGCCGTCCCTCATTTTCAGACGAGCGCCCAGCGCAGTCCATCATCTTAGACGAGCGCCCAGCACCGTCCATCATCTTAGAAGAGCGCCCAGCGCCGTCCCTCATTTGTTAGACGAGCGCCCAACGCCATCCCTCATTTTCAGACGAGCGCCCAGCGCCGTCCCTCATTTTCAGACGAGCGCCCAGCGCCGTCCCTCATTTTCAGACGAGCGCCCAGCGCCGTCCCTCATTTTCAGACGAGCGCCTAGCGCCGTCCCTCATCTTCGGACCAGCTCCACCGCCCTACATGTTCAGTTCGGCGCCAACACCTTGCCACGTCATCATATTATAGGACCGACTCCTCATCGTCATCGTCCTCATATCACGATCGGCTCTTCGGCCCCGGCGTGATTATTTATCTCGAGATCGGCTTCCTCAGCGCCGCGAGTCTTGAGCCAGCGATCGGGCTCACCATCCCTTCCTGGATGGTGACCATCGCCTTTATATGACGACCAGCTTCATCAGCGCCCCGTCATCATATTATAGGACCGTCTCCTCATCGCCGTTGTCCTCACATCACGAACGGCCCCTCGGCCTCGGCGTGATCATCTATCTCAAGACCGACTTCCTCAGCGCCGCGAGTCTTGAGCCAGCGATCGGGCTCATCATCCCTTCCTGGATGGTGACCATCGCCTTTATATGACGATCAACTTCATCAGCGCCTCGTCATCATATTATAGGACCGGCTCTTCATCGACGTTGTCCTCACATCACGACCGGCCCCTCGGCCTCATGACGTGCACTCGTCGTTAGGTGCACTCAAAATAAATAATCAATACAACACAAATACGTAGTATAGTGCAGTAAGGTTCGTATCCACAGGGAAAGGAATACTTTTCTTTTATAGAAGTAGTAACAAAAAGGGGGGTTTAGATTTGTTTGTTTTAACAACACTAAGATAAACAACCTATATGAGTTTAATGCAATGAGATGAAGACTTGGTCTTGCTTTTATCCACTTAATGAAATGTTCGTCGATCCCGGTTATATCTTTAACTATCTTCCTCTCGAATACTCAATCGAGGAGTATATCCAGTTCATCGAGGGTAGTTATTAATAACGAGATGCGTTCATTAATAAAACTTACTATCGAGTCAATATAGAACAAGCGCCGTATATTAACTTGATAGTAGCAATAAACTTAAGATGAAAACGATTGAGATTGATAACCTCAACACAAGCGGTTTATTGGTTTAATCAATATAATTAATTCCCCTTGGCATATTAACCATGAGATGCATGCATTAATATTCCAAGTTTACTACCGTTGAAAGAACCGGATTAATAACAAGCGTATTAACCGATTGATTCTAGTAATAATTAATATGAGAAACAATACTAGTTGATACTTTAAGTAATGTTTAAGATATTAACATGAAATATGAATAGGAATTAATTAATACTCAAGGAAGAATATTAAAATATATGAATCCTACTATGATTAATATCAAGATGTTAACTAATTGTCATCTTAGTAACACTCCCCGATATTATCATAGAGGAAGAAATAGCTATTACCATAACCAATGTCAAGATGTTAACTAATTGTCATCTTAGTAACACTCCCCAACTTTGATATAGAGATAGTATTTTGAAAGAAAGAATTAATATTCAAGGAAGAAGATTAAAGAAAAATAACTCACAACTTACAAATTCATTAAGCTTCAAAGTAGCAAAACCAAGATGGAAGAGTTTAGCTCCTCATTTGGAGACTAAACATGATGAAAAATATAAAGAAAGAGCTATTCTATACTGAGCTTAGATGTACAAAGGGATTGGATATCTTTTTGTGAAGGAAAGGAGGTGTATTTATAGGTTTTTGGGACGGGATTCGGGTACTCGATCGGGTATATACATGGTACCCGATCGAGTATGTGTGTAACACCCGATCCGAGGCATACTCGACCGGTTTCAGGCTATTTTCTAAGTGTATACCCGATCGAGTATATATGAATACCCGGTCGAGTATGCTTAGAAAGTGGTATTCGGGCTATACTCGACCGATCTTCGTTTGCAATTTAAAGGCATACCCGATCGGGTATGTCGGTCTACCCGATCGGGTATAGACATAGAATCGTGGCCAAAATCTTCCCTGGATGTTCCTTTGTCTTCGGATCTGATCCGATTTGAAGTTCCAACCTAATACCCGATCGAGTATAGCTAATACTCGACCGAGTATAGACCAAAATTCAGGATCTTCTTTTGTCTTTGAACTTTTGCACCTTCTCTTCACTTTTTGGGTTCACCAACTGTACTTTGGGTGACCAAAACCTGCTTAAGCTCAGAATATATCTAATCTAACCTATTTACAAGAATTTAACAATCTAATCTATTACACCAAAAGTGTGTAATTTCCAAAGTAAAAGTCAAGCAAAACTAATTAAAAACATAAACATAGAAATGGAAATTACGAACGTATCAACTCCCCCACACTTAAACCTTTACTCGTCTCGAGTAAGATCAAATGTTTACAAGTGTCAATGTTTGTCCAAAAGTTCCACAGTTCAACAAAAATATAATACAAACACAAAGACCACCAAGGATTACAAAGAAAAATGAGTTTTAAACTCAAATTACAAAAGAGCATCTTGGGTTTAATGGCCTCCTAGTGTTGTCTTCTTTTCTCCTCCTCTCTTCTTCTTTATCTTGAATCTTCATATTCTTCATAAGGATACAATGAGTGCCTGCAAGAACAAACATTTCTCTCATATCTCTCATTTTGCCTAGGAGCCTTTTCAGGTTTTCATCCTAGCACCTCTTTTCATTTTCCATTCTCTCCAACTCACTCATTTTTTTATAAGCCTTTTTTTTTTGCTTAGATTGCCCATTTTGTTGGGTTTTCAACCTAACTAGCATTTATTTTCTTTTGTTTATTTTTTTTTAATTTTTTTTTTTGTGTGTAAAAGTTCAAAAGAATTACATGCATAGTGCTAGGTACAAATGAGAATTACATACCATCATGAGTGTCTCCCCCGCACTTGAATCACGCACTGTCCCTAGTGCCCGCCTTCTCCTCCGTAGTAGCTCCCTCCAAAGCCGCTCCCTTGACCACCATCTCCCATGTAAGTGTCCCCGCCATCTCCGCCGTCGTACCCTCCACCACCGGAGCCAGATCCTCCAAAGTTACCCCAATGAGTGGGGTCATACCATGAGGGTGGTGGAGGAGGGTTCGCCATGGTATGGAAGGATCCCTGCGGTGCCATAAACGAGTACATAGGCCCGTAGAACCTATGTTGGTCTTCCTCATACCGGTGTCTATCGGCCTCCCGGAGCTCCTCCAAACGTTGAAAGCCGGCCCTTTGCTCATCCTCCAATCTTTGAAAACCGGCTCTTTGCTCTTCCTCTAATCGGTTGAGCCGGTTGTCCATTTGGGCTATTCCCGTAAGAAGTTGTTGTTGACCCTCTAGAAGTTGTTGAAAGAAGTCGGGTGGTGGAGGGTTTTGGCTTTGTTCTGGGAAATCATGGCTCATGGTTGGATGGCTATGGAGTTGCTCATAGGGCTCGTCATCGGGTTGGTTTTGGGGGAGTTCCTGTTCCGGTTCTTGGAGATGTGGTGGGAGGGCGTTTGGGAAGAGGTAATGTTGATCCGGTCTGCTTGTTTTGAAGTGGAGTTGGGGGAGTTCTGGGTTGGGCAAGAGGAAGTATTTGAGGGGTTTGGGGTGGATGTGCCAGTTGTACATATTTTTGGGCCTTTCTTCACCATAAACGGTGTGTGAAAAAGATGTACAACCCGAGTGGCCCAGCCAAGATATGTCCATTAAACAGTAGTCGGGTATAGGAGAGTCATCCGTATACCCGAACTTTGTGGCCAAGTGCATAATCACCCCGCCCACTACGATAGCACCCTTTGCCACACTTTGCTTCTTTAGATGAGCCCACATGAGATTACAGAGGTTGAAATCCACGTGGATACGGAATAAGGCTACCGAGATGAGGCATACATCCCCCATCCTTGTATGATGGTTGTTGGGACGTCCAAGCAAGGAGTTGGCAAGGAATTTCAAAAAGAGGCGTAGGACTGGATGTTGGACATGACTAATGTAGAGTTGGGAGGAGCTAAATTTGGTCTCCCCGGTCATCTTGGTCCATAGGGTGTGGCCGAAGGCGGTATTGTCGGATATAGACTTTTGGTACGGGACCGGAATACCAAAGTGTTCGGCAAACTCAAGTTTCGTGATGGTGTGATTGTGATTAAACAATCGAAACCTGAGTTTATCATCCCTAAAGTCCTCTTCATTGTTCTCAAAGTGCACCGAGCTTAGGAGTTCATAGATAATTTTTTCATTTGAGTTGTATTGCATTTTGAAAATTTTATCCATATGCAACTCATGAAAAAATTTCTTCATTATTGTGTATACTCCTAATTCCTTTAGAGCATCAAGGCATAAAAAGCGGGAAGGTTTGACTTGCCTTTCAATTGTGGACATGAAGCGTGTGCGTTGTTCGTTGTCCACGAAGAGGATGTCCTCGTAGCCCGGGATGATTGCCCTAGTGCTTGAGCTTTGCCCTTTCTCTTTCCTTGGAGCCATTTGGAGTGAATTTGGCCTTTGAAAACCGAAATTGGAAGGTGGGGGTAGGGTTTTTCGGACCTCTGAAAGTTGGGGGAGAATGGGATTGGTGGGTATGAATGTGTAGAGGAGGATGAGGGGAGTGTTTTGGCGTTGGAATGGGTGGATTTGGTGAAGATTTGGAAGAGATATGGTAGAGAGAAGGTGTAAAAATGGGGTTTGGGCGTTATAAGACCCGTATACCCGATCGAGTATGTGCTGGTACTCGGTCGGGTATGGCTGGAAAGTGTAGTTTTTGAGCGGCCTGCCTCCTGTACTCGATCGAGTAGGGTGGGGTTACCCGGTCGAGTATGCTTAGAAAATGAACTTTGTGAGCAGCCTGTCTCCTGTACCCGGTCGAGTATTCCTCCATACTCAATCGGGTATGTGCTTTTCTTTCCATTTTTGAAACGGGTACTCGGTCGAGTGTGGGAGTCAGTCCCCTTCAATTTTAGCATTTCTAGCAATACCCGACCGGGTGTATAGTGATACCCGATCGGGTATTGCTTATTTTTCAATTTTTGAATGCTCCTTCGATCGAGTAGTGCCCGGTCCCTTTTCTTTTTGCTCATACCCGACTGAGTATAAGGTTATACTCGATCGAGTATGTCCCCAGATGTTCAAAAACCTTGCTTGGGTTGCCTCCCAAGAAGCGCCTTAGTTAACGTCGCGGCACGACGCCATTGTTGTGTTCATTCTTCAAAGATTGGATCGATGAGATCCATGCATTCAATGCTTTCTTTCTGGAAACCTTCAAGGAATGGTTTGAGTTGATGTCCATTAACCTTGAGGATTTTTCCGGTATCGAGGCTTTTTATTTCCACTGCGCCATGAGTGTAGACTTTGACTACCTTGAATGGTCCTTCCCATCGTGATCTCAATTTTCCGGGGAAAAGGCGAAGGCGTGAGAGAAAAAGAAGGACTTTGTCTCCAACTTGGAAATCCTTTCTTATTATCATTTTGTCATGCCATACCTTCGTCTTTTCCTTGTAGATGGCGGCATTCTCATAGGACTCCAATCGAAGCTCTTCTAGTTCCTGGAGTTGCAGCTTCCTTTGCTCTCCTGCTTTAGCCATGTCGAGATTGAATGTTTTGACCGCCCAATAAGACTTGTGTTCGAGTTCGACCGGAAGATGACAGGCCTTACCGAACACGAGTCTATAGGGTGACATTCCAATTGGGGTTTTGAAAGCGGTCCTGTATGCCCATAAGGCATCATCCATGCGCAGGCTCCAATCCTTACGGTTCGGATTTACTGTCTTTTGAAGAATTGATTTCAGCTCTCTGTTTGATACCTCAGCTTGACCGTTTGTCTGTGGATGGTAGGCGGTGGAGAGTTTATGTGTGACGCCATATTTCTTTAACAAGGTACTCACAGTTTTGTTGTAGAAGTGAGTGCCTCTGTCGCTTATCAAGATGCGTGGTACCCCAAACCTTGAGAAGATGCGGGTTTTGAGGAATTCAGTCACTGCTTTGGCATCATCGGTCTTTGTGGCTTTTGCTTCCACCCATTTGGATACGTAATCTACCGCCAATGGAATGTATAAATTTCCATGGGAATTAGGAAAAGGTCCCATGAAATCTATTCCTCACACATCAAAGATCTCCACGTAGAGCATAGGAACTTGTGGCATCTCATGCTTTCGAGAGATGTTGCCCATGCGTTGGCAATTATCACAAGATTGACAATAGACATGAGCATCGCGGAATAAGCTTGGCCACCAAAAACCACATTCAAGTACCTTCATGGATGTTCGTTTTCCTCCAAAGTGGCCACCACATGCATGTGAGTGACAAAAAGCAAGTATGGATGCAATTTCTGTTTCGGGAATGCATCTTCGAATGACTTGATCTTTGCAATGTTTCCATAAATATGGTTCATCCCATACGTATTGCTTTGCATCATGCTGGAGTTTCTCTCTTTGAGCTTTAGAGAAGCTTGGTGGAAACCTGTTTAGAACAAGGAAATTAACAATGTGAGCGTACCAAGGACGAATTTCCTTAAGGGAGAAAAGGGTCTCATCGGGAAATTCGCCTCGGATATCATCTTTGATATGATTGTTTCCTTCGCCCAAGACCAAACGGCTCAAGTGATCGGCCACCAAGTTCTCCATGCCTTTCTTGTCCTTGATCTCAACATCAAACTCGCTCAGGAGTAGTATCCATCGAATCAGCCGTGGTTTGGCCTCTTTCTTTGTCATCAAGAATCTAATAGCCGCATGATCAGTGTAAATGATCACTTTGGTACCAAGTAAGTATGACCTGAATTTTTCGAGCGCATAAACGACGGCCAACATTTCTTTTTCGGTGGTGGCGTAGTTGCGTTGGGCGTCACTGAGTGTGGTGGATGCATAATAGATCACATGAGATGCTCTTCCCACCTTTTGGCCCAAAACGGCCCCGACCGCATAGTCACTAGCATCACACATGATCTCAAAGGGAAGAGACCAATCCGGGGCTTGGATGATAGGTGCGGTTACTAATTTCTCCTTCAAAGTATTGAAGGCCTTCTTGCAGTCCTCGGAGAATATGAACTCCACCTCCTTTTGCAAAAGTGTGCATAAAGGAGATGCAATCTTTGAGAAATCTTTGATGAACCTCCTGTAGAAACCTGCATGTCCAAGGAATGATCGTATCTCCTTAACGGTGGTAGGATAAGGTAGTGATTGGATAACCTCCACTTTTGCTTTGTCCACCTCTATTCCTTTGGACGAAATTACATGGCCTAGGACAATTCCTTCCTCCACCATAAAGTGACATTTTTCAGAGTTTAGAACAAGATTTGATTCTAAACAACTCTTCAAAACAAGAGATAGATGAAGTAGGCATGAATCAAATGAGTCTCCATGGATTGTAAAATCATCCATGAAGACTTCCATAAATAGCTCAACATATTCAGAGAATATGCTCATCATGCATCGTTGGAATGTGGCCGGGGCATTGCAAAGTCCGAATGGCATGCGCCGGTATGCAAAAGTGCCAAATGGACAAGTGAAAGTGGTCTTCTCTTGATCTTCAGGGGCTATAGGCACTTGAAAGTACCCGGAGTAGCCATCAAGAAAGCAATAGAACTTATGCCCGGCAAGTCTCTCAAGCATTTGGTCGATGAAGGGTAAAGGAAAGAAATCCTTTCTAGTTACCGCATTGAGTCTACGGTAATCTATACATACCCTCCATCCATTTTGAATTCGGGTGGGCATTAGTTCTCCATGTTTGTTTTCCACTACCGTGACTCCGGTTTTCTTTGGGACCACTTGGGTTGGGCTAACCCATTTGCTGTCGGAGATGGGGAAGATTATCCCCATTTGGAGTAGTTTGATCACCTCCTTTTTGACCACCTCCATCATAGGTGGGTTTAGTCTTCGTTGCGGCTGTCGTACCGGCTTGGCCTCATCCTCCATTAAGATGCGATGCATGCAAGTAGATGGACTAATGCCTTTGATGTCGGCTATAGTCCATCCAATTGCTAGTTTATGCTCCTTGAGCACCGCTATCAATTTGCCTTCTTGTTCTCCGGTCAATTTGTTTGAGATAATGACCGGTAGTGTCTCTTTTTCCCCCAAAAACACATATTTCAAATGTGTTGGGAGTGGTTTCATCTCAACGTCGGGTGCCTGCAAAACTGAAGGTAGAGGCTTTTCCTCGGGGATGGTTAGTGGAAATGCCCTAGACCCCGGTGGCATAAGTGGGAGTTGGAAGTGAGTATCCAATTCCACTATCATAGCTTGTGTGTTGGGGGTCAGGGCAAGTTCTGAAGAGTTTTCCCCGAAGTCATTTTCAAGTATACTTAACAATTCGTCCTCTTTATTGATTTCAAAAGTATTTTGTACAAGGGGGTCAACAATATCAATGGCAAATAAAGAATGATTTTCATTTGGATATTTCATGGAGTCATAAATGTTGAATTCAACTTTATCCCCATCAAATTCCATTGTTAAGGAACCGCTAAATACGTCAATCTTTGCTCTAGCGGTTTTTAAAAATGGCCTTCCTAAAAGGATAGGTACCGCATTCTTATCATTCTCCATTTCCAAAACATAAAAGTCAGCGGGGAAAATCAAATTGTCAACCATAACTAGTACGTCTTCGACAATACCTTTAGGGTAGGCATTTGATCTATCCGCAAGTTGAATGACTACTCCGGTTTCATTTAAAGGGCCAAGCTCAAGTGATTTGTATAAAGAGTAAGGAATGACATTAATTGATGCTCCTAAATCGAGCATGGCTTTTGAAAACGTAGTTCCTCCCAACTTGCAAGGTATAGTGAACATGCCCGGGTCATTGTATTTCTTTGGAAGTTTCTTTTGAAAAACTGCCGAAACACGTTCACTAACTTGGACTTTTTGTTTTCCATTGAGTCTATGTTTCCTTTTTATTGTACATAGTTCTTTGAAAAATTTTGCGAATCTAGGAACACCCTTTATCAAGTTAAGGAGAGGGATATTTACCTCACATTTGGAGAATGTCTCATAGATGTCCTTGTCCTTCTCCAGCTTTCGTGTTTCCCTTAGAGCCTCGGGGAAGGGTGCTTCAATCTCGGGAATGACCGGTGGTGGGGTTGGGATTTGAGCTTCCACCTCCGGTTGAGTCACTTCCACCAGTTCCTCTTCTTCCTCCTCTTCGCCAATGTGGCTCTTTGCCTTCTCTTTGGCAATAACCAACTCCTTGCCACTCCGCAATGTGACTGCATGGGCTTGTTGCCTAGGATTTGGCTCCGTTTGAGATGGTAGCCTTGCCGAATCCTTAGCTTCAAGCCTACTCACGACATTTGAGATTTGGCTGATTTGGTTTTCCAAGTTGTGGATGCTGGATTTTGTTGTTTCTTGGAATTGAACCACACTTTGTTGCATTGTTGCCATATTCATGGCAAGTGATCGAATCATGTCTTCGGTTGACATATTCGAGTTAGAAGTTTGGCCTTGTTGTTTATATTGTGGAGGAGGAGGATTTGATGGTTGAGGAGGTTGAGAGTTTCCGTACCTTAAATTAGGATGATCCCTCCATCCCGGATTGTAGGTGTTGCTTTGAGGATTATACCTCTTTTGATTTTGGAAACCCAAAGCATTGATCTGTTCAACGTTCTCCTCTTGTAGTGTTGGGCAAGAGTCGGTGGGGTGCCCTTGTGTCGAGCATATGCCGCAGACCTTGACTTCTTGAGGTTTCGGATTTAAGAGAAAATCTTTAACCAAAGAAGTCAAGCCGGCTACTTGACTTTCCAATGAGTTGTTGGATTCTGCCGCCATAACTCGTTTTGTTGATCGCCGATCATAGTGCCTACAATTCTCGGCCAACTCCGAGATGAGGTTTGTAGCTTGAGAAGGGGTCTTGTTGACAATCCCTCCTCCACATGCGGCGTTTATCATCCGCCTATCTTCATTGCAAAGACCATCATAGAAATATAAGATGAGGTCTTGCTCCGAATAGCCATGATAAGGGCAGCTTGCACACAGTTTCTTGAATCGTTCCCAATATTCGTAGAACGATTCATCATCCTTCTGCTCCACGTTGCTGATTTGTTTTTTTAGAGAGGATGAGATAGAGGCAGGGTAGTACCTTTCCAAGAACGCTTTCTTCATGGCCGCCCATGTTCCTATACTTCCTGAAGGAAGATAGAATAGCCAATCCTTTGCGGTATCCTTCAGTGAAAATGGAAATGCCCGCAGTTTGATTTGTTCTTCTGTCACACCGTTTGGGCACAATGTTGTGCAAACGACGTGGAACTCCGATAAATGTTTGTTCGGGTCTTCTCCCCTCAGGCCATGGAAGGATGGAAGCAGATGAATGAGCCCAGATTTTAGCTCAAACGTATTACCCTCATCAAGTGTAGGGAAGGTAATACACAGTGGTTGTTGGTTGAGGTTTGGAGCTGTGAGCTCCCTCAGTGTCCTTGTTTCAAGAGCCATTGTGGTTGACTCTTCGGTGTCGCTAGAACTAGAGCTAGCGGTGTATGGATCTCTGGAAGATGATTCTTCCGAGTTGGTGTTAGAAAATTTACTTTTCAACCGCTCAAAAGTTTGTTCTATTTCTGGGTTTTTGTGATATGTGATTTCGTTTATGGAACGATGTTTAACCATAAACTCCACTAAGCTCAGAAAATAGAAAAACACTCTTTATTTTTTTTTGTTTGGTAAATATATATTTTTTTTGATTTTTATGAGATCAAATAAAAAGAAAAATAATTGCCTTTCCCCGGCAACGGCGCCAAATTTGACGTGCACTCGTCGTTAGGTGCACTCAAAATAAATAATCAATACAACACAAATACGTAGTATAGTGCAGTAAGGTTCGTATCCACAGGGAAAGGAATACTTTTCTTTTATAGAAGTAGTAACAAAAAGGGGGGTTTAGATTTGTTTGTTTTAACAACACTAAGATAAACAACCTATATGAGTTTAATGCAATGAGATGAAGACTTGGTCTTGCTTTTATCCACTTAATGAAATGTTCGTCGATCCCGGTTATATCTTTAACTATCTTCCTCTCGAATACTCAATCGAGGAGTATATCCAGTTCATCGAGGGTAGTTATTAATAACGAGATGCGTTCATTAATAAAACTTACTATCGAGTCAATATAGAACAAGCGCCGTATATTAACTTGATAGTAGCAATAAACTTAAGATGAAAACGATTGAGATTGATAACCTCAACACAAGCGGTTTATTGGTTTAATCAATATAATTAATTCCCCTTGGCATATTAACCATGAGATGCATGCATTAATATTCCAAGTTTACTACCGTTGAAAGAACCGGATTAATAACAAGCGTATTAACCGATTGATTCTAGTAATAATTAATATGAGAAACAATACTAGTTGATACTTTAAGTAATGTTTAAGATATTAACATGAAATATGAATAGGAATTAATTAATACTCAAGGAAGAATATTAAAATATATGAATCCTACTATGATTAATATCAAGATGTTAACTAATTGTCATCTTAGTAACACTCCCCGATATTATCATAGAGGAAGAAATAGCTATTACCATAACCAATGTCAAGATGTTAACTAATTGTCATCTTAGTAACACTCCCCAACTTTGATATAGAGATAGTATTTTGAAAGAAAGAATTAATATTCAAGGAAGAAGATTAAAGAAAAATAACTCACAACTTACAAATTCATTAAGCTTCAAAGTAGCAAAACCAAGATGGAAGAGTTTAGCTCCTCATTTGGAGACTAAACATGATGAAAAATATAAAGAAAGAGCTATTCTATACTGAGCTTAGATGTACAAAGGGATTGGATATCTTTTTGTGAAGGAAAGGAGGTGTATTTATAGGTTTTTGGGACGGGATTCGGGTACTCGATCGGGTATATACATGGTACCCGATCGAGTATGTGTGTAACACCCGATCCGAGGCATACTCGACCGGTTTCAGGCTATTTTCTAAGTGTATACCCGATCGAGTATATATGAATACCCGGTCGAGTATGCTTAGAAAGTGG